GCCTTTCAAGATTTGGGGCAAAATGTGTGGCCTCATTGCCTATACCTTGCTACCCAGACCCACAGAGCCAACACAACTCACTTTATTCTCATGTGTAACAATCTTTAAAGTTCGCTATGCAACTGTGTAATCTTGGAAGGTAAGAATGTTAAAAAGCTTTTACCCTGGTCTTGGAAATGTTTTCACCCCTCAAAACTGTGTTTGAATGTGCAACAAAACATATGTGTATTTGTAGTTGAATTGTCTTTAATACATCCAAATAGGAAATATTTTCAAAGTCCACATAGAGTAGAATACATAAATAAGTGCTTCATAAAATAGAATACTATTAAGCATGGATAATAAATCAGTTACAACATGGTGTAATTGGAAAACAAATGTTGAGTGGAAGAAGCTAGGAATAAAATAATATATGTGATATGACTTTATTTTCACAGTGTTCAAACAAGCGAACCATATTTATGGTATAACAAATCAGCATAGTGATTACCTTTGGGGAGACGAGAACAGGAACATTTGGGTGGTAGCATGGGGTGATTTGGCTTTCTTAGGTGCTAGCTGTGTGACCTTTTTTCTTTTTCTGTGTGTGGTTTTTTATTTTTTTTTTTTATTCCAAGTGTGGTTTCATCGTTGTGTTTACTTTGTTATAATCTCCTGAGCATTACACTATGATGTGTGAGTTCTTTTGAAAGTGGATTATATTTTAATACAAAGTTAAAAATGCAAAAAAAAATTAAAATCCACTAGATAAAAATCAACAATTAAAGTTAAATGTCTGATCGTCAACTAGTCATAGAAAGAAATGTAATATTTGGATAAAAATTTGCTTATTTAAAAAAAAATGATGAAATTCCTTTTCCTATGTACTTTGTAATTCTGGATATGGGGTGCTCTAAAAGAGTATTATGGTTAAAATATTTAAATATATCTTTTACCACGTCCACTAGATAAAAATCAACAATTAAAGTTAAATGTCTGATCGTCAACTAGTCATAGAAAGAAATGTAATATTTGGATAAAAATTTGCTTATTTAAAAAAAAATGATGAAATTCCTTTTCCTATGTACTTTGTAATTCTGGATATGGGGTGCTCTAAAAGAGTATTATGGTTAAAATATTTAAATATATCTTTTACCACGAGTGCCAAAAATGAGATGATTAAAAATCAAATGATTTCAAAGTATTTGGATAATTTTCTATAAGGAAGAAAATGATGACATAAAGGACAACTTATATCTTTGCTAAAAATTTATAAATGCTCAGATTTTCTTAACTATTGCTTTAATTTTCTATTTTACCATAGTATAATCTCATTGAAAGATTTATTTCTTATTTTTTATTAAAGAGATTCCACTTTTTCATACTATTACAATTGTGGAGTCCATCTGGGGTTAGCTCTCAAATTTTTTTTTTCTTTTTTTAAAATTTTATTTTATTATTAGCTTCAAGTATACAGTACATTGGTTAGACACTTATATAGTTTATTAAATGATCCCCCTGATTGCTTTCTCTCCTCTGGCTCTACACCTACCTATTATATTAATGCTGACTGTATTCACTATGTTGTGCTCCCCATCCCCATAAAGAATATGTGTTTAACATTCTCTTTGTTTGAGTGGTGGGTTTCAGAGGTGTAAAGATTTCCAGGAACTCAATTCTTTATTTCTTTCACTGCTACTGAACAATGGAAGGAGAATAAGAAGCAAACATATGAACCCAGCCTGAGCCCACCAAGTCCTGTGCCCTCAGCTCTCAACTGGAGGGCTACCTTCTGCTAATTTAAACAAAAACAGCCTAAAGCTCAGCTCTGCCCATGCCTATCCTGTTGCTTTGATCAGGCAGAGAAGTATCTAAAACTCAGGGGTAGTTTCATCATTTCCATGATAAGCTATCTGCCACTCTCTTTTTGCAATGATGATTTTATGCTTTCTTGACTTTTCTCAACATCCTGCCAATTTTCTCACTCTGAACTAATCACCTGGTAGTGTGCAGGCTCTCATGTTGGAATTACACCATCTTCCCATGTCCCCCTCTTAAATTCTGTCTCAATTTTGGTAACTTTGTGTCTTCTCTGTCATTAAAACAAGAGAAAATGGTTCTCTTCACTAAAAAGCTAATATTTCTACACATGCTTTAAATCTCGTTCCACTGAATTCTTTCATGGACCTCATTCTTTTGGTTAACTTCTCTTTGACCATGTTTTCAGCTTCTTCCTCTCTACCAGATTCTTACCCGTCACATTTAAACATGCCTTAGAATATATATATGTATATTTTAAAAATAAACACTGATGAAAATTTTTCTTTCACTCATATTCCTCTTTCATCTTATGCTCACGCTTTTTTTTTCTTTTCACTTTCCTTCACAGTAAATTCCTCAAAAAACTGTATTACAGTTCATTACAATGTGGCTTTACCCTCAAAATCTTTACTCAGAGATATTTTTCTAAGATAGTAATGACTTCCATCAAAACCAAAAGACATTTTTTTAATCCACATCTTGTTTTAATCCACATTCTCATCTTAACCCATGTGAGAAATTCCTGTTTTGTCTTGGCTTTAATAGCACCATAATCGGCACATAATTTATGGAGCCCAGTATGAAATAAAAATGTGGAGTGCCTGGTTCCTAAGTTATTAAAATTTTGAAAATGGTGATAGCAAAAGGATAAACCAAAAGTGTGATCCTGTGTGACTGCACAGAACACATGTCCATGAAGCCAGCCTTAGGTGACATACAATTCTCTGAGTTTTCTCATATTTCAGTGAACACATGTTAGTCTAAATTCACAGAAGCCTTCCTCTAGGTGACTTTTAAATTACTGAGGTATTTATGTCCAGAATCTGGACTTCCTCTCCACAGTAACTCCATCTTTTCTTGTGTTTCATACAACTGTATGCTAGTTACTTCAAAATTTATAACACTTACCTGGACTTTATTTTACATACATATATCCTAAACACTATGTGATATTTCTTTTGTTTTCTCACTGAGTAATTCAATAAATAAGATAAATAAAAGAAATAATGCAACCCAGTCTTCCTCCAGTCATTCTACCATTTGCGAGTAAAAGTCGAGTTTATTTAGTCAGTCGCCCAAGGCAGAAATTTGTGCATGAAATTCAACCCCCCTTTTGTTTAAGTTTGAATTGTAAAAGGAGATATAAAGTAAGAAGAAAACTGACCCATGGTCATCTCTATCCTCACTCTGTAATCACAAATATATGAGCAAGTTTATAAATTTTTAGGAAAAAAAAATAGATAATGCATTTGAAGCAAATTTGAGATGTAAAATGATTCTGAAGATTTTTTTTTTTTTTTTTGGAAATAATAACAGTTCAGCTAGGGTAAACCTGACACATGAAACAATATCCAGAATGCTGGACATTTACTTCTCTTCCAGAGACCTGCTCCCCAAATAGTGTGTGTTTTCTGTCTGTGTGACCATAGAGATATCCTATCTTCCTTATCTTGGCTATGAAACTTCTGCTTGGAAAGATATATACTATTGCAAATGATTTCTCTTTGGACTATCTTGGCCTCCAAAATATTCTTCAAACCTTAGCTTAACATCATTTATTGTCATGATCTTAGTGCTTACCGAGGCTACTTATGAAACATTGACAGACACATGACTATGTGTAACACATATATATTACTAGATACAGTAAGTTCCTATTTTGTTTGAATATCTCACAACAACAATAGCTATATCAAGCAATATTTTCACATCACTCATCTGATGTAGTCAATACAATTTTGCTTAAGGATATGAGAGACATTCACAATTTAGAGCTATTCTCTAGTTTCTTCTTACTACCTTTAAATATGTACTTCTACCATCAATCCCATCAAGTCTCTAGAATAGGGAATATATTTTTATAGAATATATATTATTTTTCCTTTTTTCTTCTCTTTTACCTCCATCCTAGTGAAATCTGTCTCTGGCATAAACTATGCAATGTCCTCTTAACTAATGTTCTGCTTTTAAGGTCTTCCACATAGCTGCTGTTCTCTGTAGGTAATAAGAAGAACACTGTTTTGAAAATGTAAATTGGATCATGTTTCTTTTTGAAGAAATTTTTATAGATGGTTTGTGATTGACTGTAGAAAAATGTAGGCCTCAACTCAAATCTCATTTTGACGGAATTGTTCTCATTTAAATTGGATGCTTTTTTTTCACTGTCATAGCATTGTTTTTTATTTATTTGTTTCACAATACTATACAGTTTAAAATGTATATAGAAATTTTACATTTTTCCAATCACTGTATCCTCAGTCTCTTGAAATGTCTAATGCATAGTAGATCCTCAATAAATTACAGAATGAATAAATTAATGAACAAAGTATATATCAAAATTTGTTTTAGTAACGTCCCTTCTGTATGATGGTGGGGCAAAGTTGTAATGGCCACCATAACAAAAAGGTCTCTTCAGACTAAAGAAGATGCAAGCAACTCCATAGACTGTAACAGAATTTATCATAGCAAAATTTGCTTATGGTAATATTGAGTGGGAGCGGGCAAAGGACCCAGCAGTTTTATGCAGATTATTCTCTGCTGTAGCATCTACTTTATAGTATAACTCAGATACTAATGATTGACAAGACAAAGGGACAAAGAATGCAGTACAGACCTCCTGATGGTCTTGTGATAGATGATTGTTTATAATCGATACTATCACCAGTTTGATATTTATCTCAGTTGTCAGACAATTCCGGCCATTACTAAAAAAATGTTTATGGCTACCTTTTATGGAACACAGATAATTATCAACTAGAAAGCTTTAGTATACTTGCTAAGGACAGTGAGCTTGGTTAAAGGTCACTGCATGGAAGAAGTCCGGAATGCAAAGATGGAGTTCATTTATGGTTCACAGCCACATCTGTACAACTTCAAATGGGAAAAAAAGGTAATTTTTTTTTTCTTATTTTGATGGATACACTCTAAGATAACCTTAAATGAGTCACACCTTTGTTATAATATCTTCCTCTTTATTGCAGATGGGGTCTGTGGCTTGCTTCTAACCAATAAAATATGACAAAGGTGATGATGGGATGTCACTACTTTTATTAAGTCACATTACTTGACAAAAGCAATAGGATGTCACTCTCAAGATTATGATTCACTGTATGAGGCTCTGTCTTAGCAGACTGTGGAGAAAGACCATCTGACCTTGAAGAAGGAGATAAATAGCTATCTTATGAACAGCTTGTGGAAATTCAAATGGCAGGTAACTACGCTAAGACTATAGGACCAGTTCTCGACTTATGTTTGACAGATGGTTAGAAGCTGGCCTCTGAGTTATACAGCCAAAGATAATGATTTCTGCCAACAACTGGAATGAGCTTTGAAGTGGATGTGTCCTCAGAACTTCTCAAGAACCCAGTCTAGTCAATAACTTGATTGCAACCTTGGAATACCCTGAGTAGAGGCCCCAGCTTTGACATACTGAGATCCTGATGAAGGAAATTATGAGACAATTAATGTGGGTTGATTTAAGCCACTACACTCATTTGTTACACAACAATAGAAATCTAACATTTATGCATGTCTAAAAACAAATTATGTTCTCACATAACTTAGTAGAAACTGCTAATACGTATTGGCTGTGATATTTCTAATAGAAAATAGAGAATTGATAGAAAATGGGGTGATCCAGCAATCGAAGTAGACAAAATAGCACCACTGGATACTCTTAATCAACCACTTACATTAAGCAAGCATCAGGGTGACTGTGTATATGAAACATATGAATATTTTTTTACAAACTCACAAATTTAATAACATTATCTGGTTGCTCCTAATGTCACTAAACAAAGTGCTAAAAGAAACAGATGAGCCCAGGGATTTGAATTTCAATTCAAGCGCTGTATAAAAGGCCTGAAGGCTTCAGTGTGTGCCCTGAAGGAGACTCTTATTTTCTGTAGCAGCAGGGCTGAGATTGCTGAAAATCAAACTCATAATCTTATCTTGCAACTGGCTGATATACAATGCAAGTTGAAATGCCAGCTTCTTAGAGTGTCTACTGTTAAACTGGGTACACTGATTGGTAAGGAATGGGATCCTCAAAGCCGAAATGTGTGCATGTTGGAAGACCTTGATGAAGCTGGGGACAGTGAGCTGCTAATTCTGATGTGTCTACTTTGACAGTGGAAGAAGCTTCTTCGTCCCGAGTGGAAGTGGCCTCTCCACCCCTTCTAAGAGGATTAACCCTACGTCGACCAAGGAAACTAGAATGGCGCCCTTTGTGGTAGCCGCCGTTCAAGACAATGCTGATTCTTTGCTGGACCCACCCCACCACCCCTCTTTAGATTTAGACCTATAACTAGGCTTAAGTCCTCACAGACCCCTACAGATGAAGTACAAATGTGACCCATGTGGAGGTGCTCTACACTCCAAAAAAACTACTTGAATTTTCTAATTTATTCAGAAAGGAATCCAGGGAGCATGCATGGGAATAGTTTTTAAGGATGTGAGATAGTGAAAGAAACAAAGTTGAGTCAGGCTGGAGTCATTGGTGGGCTCACTAAATAGAGATTCTGTGTTAATGTTGCAGCTTGAGGTGGTAGAAATGGCTCAAACTGGTTGGTTGGTTGATTGGTTGGTTGGTTGGTTGGTTGGTTGACTGGCTCAAACATGGACCAAAAATTGCCCACAGCTGATGAGCAGAAAATGCCAGACCTACCTTGGTTTAAAGTGGAGAAAGGGATTCAAAAACTTAGGGAGATTGGAATGTTAGAGTAAATGTGTCAGGTAAGATTTACTTACTCATACTTGGAGAGTCCGGAGATATATCTTTCACTGATTCTGTGAGAAATAATTTTCTATATCATCTTTGATATATCATCTTTGAAGAGCTCAGCAATCCTCCTCTTCTCTGGAATCCTGGCCTTGCAGTGGGAACTGGAGTCACCACATCGGGAAAATGAAATGCACTGTAATTGCATCTCAGGATGGCAGAGACCAAATGATAGCACTCCACCACCAAAGATGAGGTGGGCATAATTACTCTGATATCCAGCAGAGTCAAAGCAAAGAACAGAATAGTCTGCCTCACAAAGATCATTTAAGTAGTTGATCATGGTATTCCTAGTAGCCTATTAAATTTTGCTTGGTTTGCACAAGCAGAAAAGTTCTCAGTCAAGTAAACAAAAGTCGAACCCTGAATCCAAAAATAAAGTCATTGTCCATCAGCAATTTTCAGATTTGAGTCAGTTTACAGTCCCAGGACCCCCCGAATTAAGGGGAGACCAGGTTCCCTTGAAGAAGGATTCCAATACCCTGCCCAAAATTGAGCCTGTTAATCTTTTTCCTGTCCTTCCTTAGAGGGACACATGACTTTTCACCAGGGTAACTGTGCATTGGAGAAAAGAAAATAATAAGAACCTTTGAGGAATACAGGGCACTGGTTCTGAATCGATACTAATTCCAGGAGACACAAAATGTGACTGGGATTCAGTCAGAGAAGGGACTATGGAGGTCAGGTGACCAATGGAGTTCTAGCCTAGTTCTGTTTCACAGTGAGCCCATTGAGTCCCTGAACCCATCTTGTGGTTATTACCCCAGTTCTGGAATGTATATTTGGAATAGACAGTAATTGGCAGAATGCCCAGATAGGCTCCCTGATCTATAGAGTGAGGGCTATTATGGGAAAGGCCAAGTGGGAACCCTTAGAACTTCTTCTATATAGGAAAATAAGGCAATATCACATTCCTGGAAGGATTGCTGATATTTGTGCCACAATCTAGGACTTGAAGTATGTACAGGTGGTGATTTTCACCACATCCTCATTCAGTTCATCTACTTGCCCTTTGTAGAGGACAGATGGTTCTTGGAGAATTGCAATAGATTATCATAGGCTTAAACAGGTAGTGACTTCAGTTACAACTACTGTACCAATGTGGTTTCATTGCTTAAGCTAATCAACACGTCCCCTTGTATCTTGATCATAGATATAAATAATAAAAATGCTGTTGCTTGGTGGACACAACTTTGTACATCATGCCACAATTGTACCTAGGCTTCACTTCAGAATGGCATATTATGATAAATGTGTGTTTTGTTTTGTTTTGTTTTGTTTTGGCAGATGATCTAGGGCAAAGAGAAGCCATTCTTTAGATAGAGCCTTCCACAATATTGTCGAGGAGTTTTTATGTATATTTATTCCTTTGTGCTTATGGTAGAATTATTTCCTCCTTGTGAAGATGTATTGCTACATTTCTCCACCTAAGCTAAGAGAATCTTTGCAGAAGATTTTAAAATATAATTCTATGTGTATGACCCTTGTATGTGTTTTATATCAATTACAGTTACAAACACTACACTATTTACAATGTTCTATTTTGCTGATTTTGCCCTTAGACCCAGAATAGTTCCTGACTTTGCTGTTTATGCAATGTTCTATTTAAAGAAATACTTCACTCTGAGATTTTTAAAACTCATCTGCTCCTTTTTTTTTTTTTTTTTATCACCACTTCCATAAAATGACTGATCAAAATTAGTCATTGCTATAAGTAGCATTACTATTTGGAATACGCCAGTATACTTCAAAATAAAAGTTCAGAGTATAATTACCAAACTCAGATTTCTGGTTTCCTATTGATTATTCATAAGACATGGGAGGACAATAATAGCCAAAAATGATTCTCTAGTATTTCAGTCTCTATACACATACCTAAAATTGTCTCTGCTCCAAAGTGTGGAAATAATAATCAGCATGATATGCTCCTGCACTTGAATGGGATAAATTCATCTACAATTGAACTTTTTTGTTAACTTTAATTTGTTTAAATTGATTTCTCTTAAACACTTATCCATGTTCATGCATTTACCACTCTTGCTTGCACCCTCGACAAGCAAATACCAATACAAAGTTACAAGTATTTTGAAGAGGATGTTTATTCTTTTGCTTGACTGTTAAGATAATAGTCCAACTTAGATATTTTTATAAAATAACACCTAGAAAATTAAAGCATGGAGGATTGATCTTAAGTGGTACACATAGTATTATATGCTGAAAAAACTTTATTTCTAACAGTGAAAATTATGTTACTTGATTGCAATAAATTAACACATAAGAGTCAGTTATATTCTGGAATAATGTAAAATAGTGATTATTGTGGCACAGGAACATACCAAATGGCTCATTCCTTTTGCTTCAAAAGTATGACTATAAACATTAACATTCACAAAGATGCATTATGTTCACTTACAAACAAAATAAGTATCCTCAAAATCATATATCCTTCACTGTTTAACTTACTTGACATATTACTAACATATCAGGTAATTAAATGGAAACATAAGTACCAAATGTTTAAAGCAACTTTGTGTAATAGATTCATTGAGTATATATAAAACACCAAGTTCATGAAGTGGAAAATAAACATGTACTTCAAGGAGAGGAAGGAGAATATGTGAAACATAAGGTGCTATCTGCCAAATAATCTACATTTCGTAGTCAGTTGTCAAATATGATTAATTGTGAGTCTAGGGGACAGCCAGTACACAGTGGCCTTCATTAGATCCAGAATTTTTCTATGCCCTTCACTAATAGCTAGGATGAACCTGCTTACATATTTGACTTCTGCGTTGCATATAGATTAAAAATCTCATACACAGATACAATGAATGTAGTTATCTTTCCCCTGGGAAAGAAAAAAAAAAAAAGTAGAACTAGGAGCAGGGTTTTGGAAACAACCATTCTCATCTCCAGTAATCTCAAAATTATTTTTCAGAAGAGATAATTTTGAATTGATTAAGTAATTTAAAAGAATATGCACCATGAAGCATTTTTTTTCTTTTTCCGGACAAAGTGTGCAAAAAAGCAGGCTACATTGAGATGGAGTGCAAGTGCTAAAAGAATTAGAAAAACTTACATTGGAGGACAACTTGTCACTAAAGTATAAAGCATGCCCTTTACAAATAATACCATTTGTCAGTTTCATTGTATGTCGATATGTATTCCTGGGTATTCTCTAAGATTTTATGCACAGTTTAGGAGCATATGCTTTAACACTCTCCTATGGTATTTGACAATTCTCATTTCTTAATAAAAAAATATTTTAAAATTACATCTGTGAAATACTGCTGGGCAATCTATGGGTATATGTGCTTATATTTTATCTTTTAATTGAAATAGGATAAAGATTGTAGTTCTGTGCATTTACATATTTAAATATTTGAATCTCTCTTGAAAAAACCATAAGATGGGATAGTATCTAAATCACAGGTTGGTTTGAGGCATAAATATAGATTGTGTATAGTGGTTAGCATAGTATTATTCCAATTGTAATATTGTTATTATTGCTATTATTTTAGTCTTTTTATTAGGAAATTTCCAAGAGTACATTTTCTTAGATTTTTAGTAGCTGTTTATTTTCCTTCTAATAAAAGTAATGAAAAGGTTTCAAGAACAAAGTCAGAAAATGTGTTCTTATCGATTCATACATGAGAAGTTAGAAGGATGAATTTTTTACTTATAGATCCATCACTAATAACCCCACAGTCAGCACATTTTGCACATTGAGAACATGCCAAAATGCCAGAGAGGTGCCAGGCATCTCTCTACTCTTTTCTACCAGGCATACAGTGCCCGCCATCCATCACATTTAGCAGGATCCCCTGTTCCCTAGGTTCCAGTTCCAGTCATCTTATGAGAGCCCTAGTAGGAGATCAAATACAAAGGGAGCATGACATTGGGAGCATATTTATTCCCCTATCTCTCAGCTTGCAGGGTCACCTTTATGTGCCTTAATTCCTCCAGAGAAAGTCACTGCTTTTTCCAAGGTGACTGGTACCTTGCAAACTCAGTCCTTGTGGGTTCTGGTAATTTCTCTCTTCCTGTGTCCTTCAGATTCTGGGTGCCACCTTAAGCCTTGGAGTTCCCTTACATGCACCTTATACAGAATTCTATATTAGTTTCTTATTGCTCTGTAACAAATTACCATAAACCATTAGGATTTAAATAACACAGATTTATTATTTTATAGTTCTGTTGGTCAGAAGTCCTAAAATTTGGGTGTTGACAGGGCCGCTTTCCTACTGGGTGTTCTAGGGGAGAGTCTGTTTCCTTGCCTGTCCAGCTTGTGGAGGCTGCCTGCATTCCTTGGCCCGTGCCCCCTGCACTCTGACATCTGCGTCTCTCATCACATCTCTTTCTCTAACTCTGACCTTCCTGCTTCCTTCTTTCATTTATAAAAACTTGTGTAATTACATTTAACCCTTCTGGACAATTCAAAATATTCTCCCTACCTTATAATCCTTGACTTAGTCACATCTTCAAAGTCCCTTTTGCCATGTAAGTTCATGTATTCACTGATTCTGAGGATTAAGACATGGATATCTTGGTGAGAGACATTATTCTGCCTATCATAAGGTTCGTGTAAGCTGTTCTCAAATTTTCTAGTTTTGAGTGTGATATATCTTTTTGGTAGTATCCTCAATAATATTTGGAGACCAATTTATCTACTATTTCTTAGATTTCTTTTACAATCATATTCCATGTAAGTGGGAGACCTTAGGAGGCACCAATCAATACTAATTTCTTCTTTCTTGTTTCCACTGTCACCTGTATGGCTTAAGCTATTGCTGTATTCTTATTGTTATATCCTCCTACGTCAGGGCCTGCTTTCTCCAGTCATACTGCATATGTCTGTAAGAATAATATTCCCCAAGTAAAGCTGCTTGCTAAAACTAGACCTAAAATCGGATATCCTTGGATGGTATTCTAAGCCAACTCATTCTAAGCAACTATTCCAACATTATATATCAGTACTTTTAATAACAAATTCTATTATTCAGAAATTTGGATATTTTAATTTTATTGGATGAGTATAAGGCCTCCTCTCTCTACAGTTTTGCTTATATTTGTTAAAAAATAATGTTTCTAAGATTCATTATCGTCTCATATTAATTTAGATAGAAGTGAATCCACCATCTTCCAATCTTCTGTAGGATTTAGGTATCATTTGTGGTATTTATCACAATTCATTATATACTTGTTTCTATTTTAACTGCATCTAGATTTCAAATTACAGAATCTTTGTATAGTGAAATTTTGTTTACTTCATACTATAAAATGTAGAAGAGGCTTACATAGTACTTACGTGATTTTCTTTTTTTCCCAATTACCTGACTATTTAAGAATACTAAAACAGGCTCTCTGAGAATGGAGCTGCACATCATGGTGAATACAATATTTAATTGTGTTGAATTTTCTTATACAATGAATTCTCAATAGAAGCATTAAACTGGGAGTTATTTTTCTAATTCATTTCCTACAGTTCATCAATTGAGTCTTGATTAGTAGCTGATAGCATAAGAAATCATACAAAAAGGTGAAATTCATATTATGTCTCTGTCCGGTGGTTCTTATCTAACACATGGAAGAAGCATAACTGAAAAAGAGTAGAGTATTTTGAGAAAAACACAATGTCTTGAAGTGGCCAGACTTGGGTGTTTACTCCAGTTTTGCTATCTAGTACAATATTACCTTGTTTATGTGGCTTACCATCTCTGAGCTTCAGTGTATTCTTTTATTTATTATTTACACAAAGAATTTTTGAGGATTGAATTACACATAGGTTTGTCGAGAAAGCAATATGTGTAAAACAGCTATTTCAATGTTTACTAAATTTATGTTTAAAAATATCTTAAAAGCAGGAGATGATTATTTGTCTTTAGGACTATATACAAAACCTGATGGCAGCACCCAGGAAATATAGACTGAGAAGTCAGTGATTTCACTTATAATGTGAGGGAAATATTTTTATGAGATTCTAGATTTGTTGTTGTTTTGGTTTCATGTCTGGGTGGACTGAAGTCATTTTCTGCCTGCTTAGAACCAACAAGGAAAATTACATAGTTATATTGGGGAGAGTTTTCTTCCCCATCAAGAGAACCTGTTAACTACGTTAAAATTCTCTCGTTAGGTCTGAACCACCCTCTCCTCCTTTACTTCCTTCTGTTCATGAAAATGCTGTCATCATTTCCCTGCCTTGTCTTTCTCCCCTTGAATGTCTGAAAAAGATTACTTTCAGTGAAGTTGTGAGTGCATGGACAGCTTCCAACAATCATTTACTTCGGTTCAAGCATTAGTAGTCTAAAGGCAAACCCTGTATGTCTTCTACATTTCTATACATTCCTGCAGGTAGTACTGCAGGTAAAATGAGGTAGACTTCAAAGAAATAAGGTTTCATCTGAAGCAGAATAAATGCTATAAGAAATTTGATTATTTTAAGAGGAGATTGTCTTCTCATAGTAAATGATGTCAGTAGGAAACTGAAAATATCATATTGTACAAACCCACTGTTTTTCTACTTTTAAACATTAAAACATTATAGAACACAGTGAATTATAGGAGCTTCTGTCACAAGACAAATGTTCCATTTTATACACATTGGAATTTGACTACTTGTTGAAGTAATTAGTCATTGACAATATAGCATGTACTGAAAGAAAGCTACTCTTTAGATGTATGCTATGATGAAAAAAATGCAACTATTTAACAAGAGAAGAATTAAAATTTGAGCATCAGTGCTCTGTCTGGAGAGAATTTTAGAATTGCTTGTGAAATAT